TGATGAAACGGATGAACCCCACATGAAGCAGAAGCCAACGAGACGGAGACCAGTATGGAAGAAGATACGTCCCGTAAAATTAAGAGACTTTGTTGAATTGTAATTTTGTGTTTGTAATTTTGTGTTGGCAAAATTTATGTTGCCAACGTACTCCACTAAGCTCGATCTCTCACCAGCCCAGACAACTCCCCAATCCATCACGCTGAAACCACCAAAACTCTTGGTGAGGCATTCTCCAGACCCATATACTTCTACTGTCCAAAAATTCAGTGAATCTTGATTCGTCTGAGAACAATATGGTCTTCCAAAAGTCCAGAGGCTTGGTCATGATCTCCTTTCGAAAAGACGTCTGCATAATTCGCCAAGAGTTCCTAACCTGAAGAGCCTGTGATGATGACAAATGGACTATACTCTTCTTATAGAGGTCAGTTAAATGTTCTGGGAAAGGACGTCATTTCTTTATGGTCGTATTTCTTGCCTTAACATTGGCTGGCTCTACCTCCTGGCACACACCCAACAATGCCCCTTCCTTAAGTGTGCTAACATTTAGAGAAATTGGCCACTGCTATGGGTATTACTTGATGATCTACCACAAGTGACCTTCCAATCTTCACATACGCTGGCCTGGATGGTTCTTCGGCTGCTTCTACAAGCATCGGGCTTCCTTGGGGGATGTTCTTTTATTCTACCCCAAATTATCTTCTCTGACATAGTGGGTATTGTAGTTGACTTAATTGCTGTGACATGCAAATCAACAGATGCAGCACCACTTATTGGAATTTGGCCTTTGTTGTTCCCAATAGTCATCTTATCGAAGTTAACTACACACTTCCTCGGTAGTAAGTAGTCCAACCCCAATATCCATTGGTCTTCAATGTCAGCCAAGTATACTTTGTGTCTGTCATTCATGTCCATGAGCTCAGTAGTTAGCCACACTGGTCCCCACAACCTTGCATAATGGTACTCCTTTGTAATCCAGCACCTTGACACTCACAAGGGTTTGCTGAGACACAGAATCTATGACAAAGTTGCACCTTTGGCCATCCAGCTTTTCTGTCATATAGACATTATGTGTACCTGCCATTTTACACTTAGCTGTTGGGACTTTCACAATGGGGGTTGGTGGGCGTCCCTCAACACTGACCACTACTGGTTTCCTGAAGCTGACTTTTTGGTAGTATTCTTCTTACACTGGCTCCTCATATGTCCTTGTTTTCCACAGTTCCAACAACCTTTCTGGGTAACAGCCCTTCCTGCCATGGCATCTTCCTTGTGTTGAAGTTGCCAGCATTGAGCTCTCTTGTGCCCTGGTTTGTTACAGTGCCAGCAAAGTCCCTCAAACCTCTCTAAAAGCTGACCTTTTCTGGTCTTGAATCCTGATGACTGTACCAACCTTGGTACCTCTGTGCTGGACTTAATGTAGGATTCGAATTCAAGAGCTCTGGCCATTGCATCCTGCATAGTAGAGTGGTGTGCTTGCTTCATTTATATCTTCAGTTATGGACTGTCCAATGTGTCTACAAACTGACCCCTAGCAACAACTTGAGGAGATCAGGTGGCACAGTTGGGTAGGCCTTGTGTGCCATACTTTCCAAATATTGTACCAGCTCTTGTGGGCTCTCCCCTTTAGCACGGACTCTCATTCTAAACCTAGCCCTGTAGACTTCCGACTGATTTTGGGTTCCATACCTGA